GTACTTTAATCTATAAACAAAATCATCTTTTCTCGAGGAAGGTCAACCTGGACCCTCAGGCCAAGAATTGGTTGGTCCACAAGGCTCAACTGGTAGACAGCAATGGTCAATGGACCACAAGGCTCAGCTGGTAGAGACCATGGCCAACATTGGGCTGCAAAGAGAGCAGAGTATCCCAGTGCTGATTGCTGCAAACACGGCAAACTGCATACAAGGATACAGTGAAAGGAGTGTGGCAGGTTATTTTGCCCTGTCATTAAAACAGAGAACTCAAAAAATCACAGTAACTGATAAATTCTATTTCAACTGAATGACTTATCCAGTGTGCACAGAAAGAAAAAGAGGCCCTTTTCAAAGAAACAGGCATAACTTATTTTGGAAATTAGAAGGTGGAAGCCTTCAGCAGAGCAGGGAGACTGTGGATCAGCTTCCAGACCTCAGTAACAAGTAAAAACAAATTAGTTGTAAGATGGAGTTTAGCAGTTTATAGAAAGACTGATGTAATAATGTTGTCCATGGCAATAAATGGTGCAGTGGGAGGTCTCTCCCACTCCAACACTCCTAAATTTTGCATGCATAAAAAGAGTAATTAAAAATGAAGGAAGAGAAAAAATAGTTTCTCAAACATAATAAAGGAGAGAAAAGGATAGAGAAAAGGATGAGGCTTGGCTATCAAAAGTCCCTAGGGATAACAGAGAGGCAAACAGCCTTCCCTGAAACATTGTCAGGGATCACACCGTAGTTTCAACGTGCCTTAATGCTGCCTGTCTTTAATAACCCTTATTTTGGAGCACAACTTCATTATAACAGCTGCTAAAATATTACAGCAAGGCAAAACTGCCATAGTACTTTTTTTACAGTAAGTAACAGATGACTCTGAATGATCCTGTTGAATTCCTCTCTACAAAGCAAGGCCTTTCTCCCACTTGGTCATCTCATCCTAAGCAGAGAACATTTTCAGACACTCTGCACACACAAATAAATGATTTTTAAAGAACAAGTTCATTTACATGCAGCACTTTCTAACGGCTTTTAATTTTACACATTACGTGTGATTAATAACATTTGCTCTGCTCACAACGATTATATTCATGTATATTAAAAATGACAGCGTTTCTTCATGCAGTCTTTTTCTCTTATTGGTTTAAAACCTCCTTTTGTTGCAGCAACACATTAAACAAACTGAAGTCATAAGAAAGGGGGTGGGATGACAAGTTAAACCTCATCTTAGACAGAGGCAACCAGAAGGTGCACCCTTGCAGTAGCTACTGCCCATCATGCCTCATAAATTTACTTAATTTACTTAATGGTATAAAAAAGTAAACTTTTCATAGCTAGAGAAGTATTTTTGTTTTCATTCCTGCCCGAATAGAGCCGTAATTGTTTCAAAAGACTTTGGCAAGGAAGCTGACCAGCTGTGTGAGAGCAGGTGCAAGAGGTTGCCATAAACAAGTTTAGCACTTGATTTGAGGAAGTCAAATAATCTGTTTTTGTTGGAGTCAGTTCTGAGAGTCACCTTCCAGATCTCATAGCTACAGCAAAGACTTTCAAACAGGTCAGATAAACTCCTTTTTTAAAGTTTGGTTAACTTTAAAATACAAGATTTTGATTGTATGTAAGGAAAAGACCACCCAAAAAAAAAAAAAAAAAAAGCAGTAGAGTTATGAAAATGACATATTTGTATTTAACAAGTAAAATATGCCCAGGGACCACCCACACTAAAGGAAAACATATAAACTCATTACAAGCAGAGTTTTATGAACTGGATGAAAATGAAAAAAAAAATGTATTCACGGGTATTAAAGCTGATACTAAATACCATTTTATTGAGGCAACTGCAGCTTAATAATAACTGAATGTATATGTAAAGTAAATTGTGTTTTCTTAAAATGGTGTGCACCTGAAGCTGCTGACAGAACAGCTCTGTTGCTGGCTGCCATAGAGGCTGTTAGCCTGACCCCCTGTCACCCTGTCAGCTCCAGGGACAGACCTAAAGGTCTTAACGATGCAGAAAAGTTAAGTGTCAGCCTGACACCTCATGCTAAAAGTTGCTCCCTATCACAGCTCCAGAACTCAGAAATGGGCACTACGAAGAAAGTGCAGGAGCACGGGAGGTATTAAACATGTGCAGTGTTTAGAACACGAGTTACAGGGAAGTAAAAATAAAGCAGCACAAAGCTAATTATAGTTGTGGAAAGCTTAGTTATTCAATCATAATGGAATCCTTTTAATCGTGTGTGTGTGGGGGGGGCGGGCTGGGTGTACTATAGAGTACTATATGATACAACCACGTGCTTTGTCTTACCTTCTGGGGTCAGCCCTTGTCATCACAGCATGAATCGCGCCGTTGGCTCGGAAACTGTCCTGGCTGCAACTGCAGGATGCCGGGGGAACTTGGTGCCACTAATGCTAATAATATGTTTATAGCACGTGCCTCAGTGCTTCCTAAAACACTGCAAAAGCTGCTGCTGCAGCACGGCCACGAGCCCTCTGCACATCAGCGCTCCACGCCTTTACTTGGGGATAGTTACCCTTCTTAAAACATAAATAAAGTGAACTTGAACATGTGACTCTTTGGCTATGTCTGCTTTTATTTGAAGAGTGTCACACCTGGGGAAGTGAATCTGGGTTTTCTCCCCTCTACCCATCTTGTAGCACGCTCTCTTTTTCCACAGTTAAATATTCAGCATTACAAACTTTGAGGAGAAAACATCCACAGTTACCTGTGTAACCCTGCACTATGTGGGATATGGAGCACGTTCAGGGAGATCAGGTAGACCTCATGAACCTACAGATTCATGGATCCTTGAGGAATAAGCACCTTGGTGTTTAATGTATTAGTCTGAAAATCACTACTCACACGGGACAAAATTAACTGAAAACTTAAATGCTTACTATATTCAAATAGTAAATTCCAAGTACTACTAATTAGACTAGTAAAGAGACCTTGCTCTTATAACTAGCTGTCATTTTGTGGTAACCTCCATGTCTCTGGCTCTGCATGCCAGAGTCAGTCAGCAGCTGGTTGGCAGAGATTTGCAGGTGGTAGAACTGGTGCCAAGTTTACTACATAAAACCTTATATTCCAGATATCAGAGACTAGACTTGCTTTGGGAATCACACTAAATACAAAAAAAAAAAAAAAAAAAAAAAAAAAAAGATTACACCAGAACAGATTATATAGCTGTGCAACCCACTGCTTTAACTTCTCTTAGTAACCAAAAATAGATGCCTCAAAAGACTATAAGAAGAAAGAATGTATGTAGTAAAACTCCCTTATCTTTCATGAGTGTGCAAGAAAAGGAATATATGTAGTAAAACTCCCTTATCTCTTATGAATGTGTAGATTTGGCATCACCTGAGCAAGATGGTAGCTAATCCCATGCAAAGACTTTCAGAACCAAGTTACCTTTCCAGAAAATGTGCAGTCCATGTGAGCTGGAAGGGAGAGGCTGCTCAATTCTCCTCTTTCAGCTGTGGCGCTGTGCAGTGCTCATCAGCTCTGATACTTAAAAAACACACACTCATACCATCTCATGGAAACACTTTAACCCTGTGCATTAGCTACTGCTTGAACACAATCAGCTGCAAAAAGTACAGGGTGTCCCGGTCTTTCTCCAACCTCCCTTCAGTAAGTATTGCCTAATTTTCTCCTCATGTTCAAGGTGTTTTCACTAGCTTTCTTTGCTTTGCTATTTTTTTTCCTGGTTAAACTATCACACAGAATATACATTTTCAGAGGCAGTACATAACAGAAAACGGAACTAAGAGCAAGACATTAAGAATACGCCTTATATACTATTATTGTATTTATTGTACCATTAAGATCTCCACCTAGGTAATTCCTATCCAAAATTCACTCTCCTGCTAAGCCGCAAATACTTCCAATGAATTCACTACAGCTGAGCACGTGCTTAGCTCAAGCTTTTTTGCAAGGTTTGTGCCTACTTTAAGCAACTGGGTGCAATCAGTTAAAGCAAAATTCAGGAGTTGGGAACGGGAATATGATAACTGCTCCTGATGTGGTGTTGAGCAATGAGAGGATTTACTGCGCACTCCTCCCACAACTCCTGTGCCGTCACTTCAACTAGAGGAGACACTAAAATGAGCCCTCCGCGCTGTGCTTGGAGAACTCCAAATCCTCTGGGATTTAAGTAATTGATTAAGTTTTCACAGTTAAATATGGACAAGCTGAACCACAAGGGAACGTGATTCTGCTCTCAGTAGCTACCCCAGAGGCAGAACGGGCCTCCTAACCCGCAGCAACGCCCAGCACGAAATCCCTGAGGAAAAGGACGGAAAAAGCAGCCAGCTCTTTGTGTGGAGCTGCTGTGTTGCAGAGATTTCCCTGTCCCCAGTGCGGCTCTCGGGGAAGGGCCTGGGCCTCGGAGGGGGATCAGAGCAGGACCGCCCCAAGGTGGGTCACCTCAGGGCACTGTTAGTTTTCATAAACTACGCGGGCTTATAAAAGTGCGGGTGCTTTTTCGCTACAGGGCTGAGCAAAGATGGAGGCGGGATAAGCTAAAGGGGCTGCGGAACCCCACGGCTGCCATGAAGGGAGGCGGCCCTGGTGCCCCTGTGGCCAAGGCGGGCGGGCGGCAGCCCGGCAGCGGGGCGGAGCTGTCCAGCCGGCTCCGGGGCTCGCTCGCTCGCTGCCGTCTCCCGGTCCGCGGAGGGAGCCCCGGGGAAGCCCATGCCGGCCGTGAGGAGCCACCAGCCGCCAGGGACCCTTCCGTATGGTGAGGCTACGCCATCTTGCGATACGGCAGGGAAGGAGAGCCCTGGCGGGCGCCATTTTGCACCTGAGCGAGCCATGTGGCGAGCCTTAGCGTTTCGCTCCGCGTGGGCGCCGCCATTTTAGATTACGGAAGAACCTCCGCCTTCACTAGCGGCAGGTTCCGTCGCTGGGCGCCGCCATTTTGGGTTACGAACAAGCCGGCGACCTGCAGGGGTCCTCACACACCCCTCTCCTCCTTCCTCCCTTTAGGTGTCCTCATAAAATGCCCGTGGAGAATCCCCTCTTTTTTCGGCCCGCTCCCAAGATGGCGTCGATGCGGGAGAGCGACACTGGCCTGTGGCTGCACAACAAGCTGGGCTCCACGGACGAGCTGTGGGCGCCGCCGAGCATCGCCTCGCTGCTCACGGCCTCGGTCATCGACAACATCCGCCTCTGCTTCCACGGCCTCTCCTCGGCCGTCAAGCTCAAGCTGCTCCTGGGGATGCTGCACCTGCCCCGCCGCGCGGTGGACGAGGTGAGGGCGGCGGGGAGCTGCGCCGAAACGGGGCGTGTGTGACGGGGGGGGGTCCCCCTTTTTACCAGGGGCCCCCCGCGCTCCCCTCCCCCGCGGCGGCCGTTAGCGCCGGCCGGAGGGGAGCCGCGAGCGGCCGCCCCCGGGGGCGGGAGCGAGCGCCGCTCCCCGGGACGTGCCCGCTCCGCCTGCCTTTATTCCCCGTTACCGCTCGTACTCGTTATCCCCGGCTTTGCGCCCTCCTCCCCGCGCTGCGGCCCGCTCGGAGCGAGGGGAGGCGCCCGGGTCCCCCGCGGCCGCCGCGCCTCCCGCCGCCCCGGCGGGGTCTGCGGGGCCGGGCCCGGCCCGGGCTGCAGCCCGAGCCCTTCCTGGCGGGCCCCGCCAGCCGCGGGGAGCCGTTTTGCGGGAGCTCGGGGGCTTCGGGCACGTCCCGGTAGCGGGGAGGGCTGCGCCGAGCCCAGGCCACGGGGGTGACAGCGGCTGTCCGGGCACGACGTCCCCGGGCCGCCTTAGTGCTGGCAGCTGTGGCCGTGTCCCCAGCGAACATCCCGGGTCGAGGAAGGACAGCAGCAAGTGCTGAAACGTGGGGAATGGAAGAGCAGGACTTCCCCCGCCTTCTCCTCAGGGGTTGGTCGAGCAGATTGCCTTTTCTTTTTTACTGCCTCTTGCCTTTCCAAGAAGTGCTAGGTCTCTGCTTTTCTGCCCTTTCCCTGCTATTAATCTGGCTGGATTCTGCTCCAGCTTCGCAGGGAGGCAACCCAGATCCAGCAGTCTCTTTGCTTGGCTCCCTGTGTCACCTGCAGCTGCCTTGTTCCCACCAGCTACTGATGCTGGGGGTGGCAGCTGGAGAGGGACTGGGAAGCCCTGAGTTCCCCCAGCCAGGGTGCAGGGACTCCCGTCCTGCTCCCAATGAAGTTTCTGATAACAATTCCAGACATAGCGAGTATTTGAGCACCAGCTTTTGGTGTGTTTTATCCCCTACTGTGCTTGTGACAGCCCCTTTCATATATATATATATATATATTTCACTTATTACACTTAATAGAAGCATATGCTAGGCAATGTGTGGAGAGGCTGTGCATAATTTGTTTTATTGTGCGCTCTCCTCTGTGCACTAAGCTCAAAATGCTTCTCAGCAGTAGTTCAGTGTATGTCAGGGCCTGTTTTGCCAGAAACTTGTTACTTTGTTACACCTGACTGCAGCTGCTTACAAAAAGACACTTTTTGCTCAGCATATATTTCCTCTGTTTAAAATCTGAACGTATTTGTATCTTGTGCCTGTCCAGAGCACAAGCGTTCTCATTTATGTGTGGCAAAGGCAGTCTTCTTTTCTACAAAGAAAAATAAAGTTTGCACAAACTGCACATATGCAAAATTCTTCTGGCGTAGCGTGAAAATCAGAACAGCTCAGAAGTCTTGTGGTATTTGGGCAAAGCTGACAAAGTAGTGGTGTCTTTAGGCCTAAGAAAAGGGAAATTTAAAAAGTTTAGGGACCTTCATAACTAATGCTCAAATGTCAGCTCTATGGTAAAGGAGCAGCAGCTCAAGTGAACTAAAATAATTGACTGAAATGCTGCAGTAGAGATCGCTGCACCTATAACACATTTTATTTTTTTTAAGACTCATTCAAATTAAGGAAGATGTCAGGAAGCCACTGCAATTGATTGTGCTTTTCTTAGCGGTGCAGGTGAAGTGCATGGTGGAGAGCAAGCTGGTCACTGTGCCTTTTAATATCAACTTAAAATGATCAGCTGTGTTCCAAATACATTATTAGTGCTGCTGTAACAAAAATGGATTTGGTTGTGGATTTATTTTTTTCAGTTTTTCAGTAGAGTTTGTGAAGGTGGTCACAAATTCAGACCTTTCACCAGAGCTAGAGTTTGACTGTCACTTCAGTGCTTTGCAAACTATCTGCAATTAATTTTTTCAGGGACATCTTTTTTTCTAATCCTTCCTCTCAATAAAAAGTTGTTAGTAAAAAAGAAAAAGATGAGCCAGGCACCCTTTACTAGTAGGCCTGATTTATTTTGTTATCTACTTCCTCCTATAAATAATAAGTCATTTTGCAGTGCATTTGCTAGAGTAAAGTTGTGTTTGTGAAGGTTTGTTACTTAAGTTGTTCTCATACTTTGGGATACTCTAACTGGTATTGGATTTTTGACATATTGGCTGTAAAGCCGTTAAGTGTTTTGCACTAGAGGTCAGTTTTGCATATGCACATGCTAGAAACATATATGTGTGTTCTTTCCCTGCACTGTGCTGTGTATTTCTATACAGTGTTCACTATACATTGCACAGTGTGGTACACAGTCTGCTAGTACCAATACAGTACAGTGTACCAGTGTAGAGTATCTGTGGCTGCCTGGAAATGAAATCCTTCAGTCACTTTGACTCTGTTATCGATTTCTGAAAACTATTTAACTCCACTGTGAGAGTACTTGCATTGGGAAAGTCATAGGTGTATTTTTTCCTGACTTGTCACATGCCAGCCACATCAATCGTGTGTGAGAAGCACAGAGCTGGCGTTTGAAAACTTAATACTGCTCGAACCTGCTGTGCACCAGCTTTGTGAAGCCTTGTTGGTCTTGACAGTGGATGCAAGATGTGTTACTGGTCTGCCATGTAACATTAAACCGGATTCCTCTGTCTCTATAACAATTGTACTTAGTAGTTCTCCATTCAAAAATACACTTATTTTTTTTTCCCGGTTCTCTTTATAATAGCCTTTAAAAGGAGGATTAGAATAACATGAATAACTTTTGAGGGGCAGACATCTAAACAAAAAGTTATGTGAGGTTCAGAAATATGGTGATATTTGCTTCAGAAGGGGTTTAAGTGGCTGCTAGACCTTCCTAAATCTCCGGGAAGGCTTCAGTCTAGACAAGTGAATCTTCAATCGCTTCTCATGAGAGCTCAGTCTGCTTGGACAAACCCTTTGATATTTTGGTATTTTCATACTACTTTTACTGGTTAATTTGGCACTGCAGATAGTTGTGTAGATACTTGTGTGCGACTTAATCCCTTAATCCCCTGAATACTCTGGGATAGGTAATGAACCTCCTTATTTTTATTTATTTTTTAATCATGATAGGAACCTCGTTCCTTCTAAAAGGAATAATTGGCTCTCATTTTTTTACTTAACAACTTAAGTGTATCTTATAGACAGTTGTCAAAAATAGCCTTTCCCGCTGCAGTTCTCTAGGTAGTTTGCTAACTCCTGAGTGTCCCTGCTCCCTCCCCCAGCCTTTTCTCTGCTAAATCTTTTCCAGATAATCATGCTTATTTGCAATGATGCCTAGAGCTCACTGCAGTGCTCAGTAGAGTTTCAGGGGTAATTTGGCAGAACAGTTACTTCTATTTACTTTGTGAATTATACTCTTGTTAACCTGATTCACAGGGCAAGTGCAGTATCTTTGTGCCAGCATTTCATTTATTTGTTTAGGGTTAGACTCTGGTGTTATAATCAAGTCTGGAATGAGGACAGTGAGCTTCTGTGCTCGGAAATATTTTGAGAGGAAGATGCTGCCTATCCCTGGAGTGACATGTCTTATTAGAGCAGCAGTGTTGTCTGTGTTCAGAACAAGCTGCTCCATAGCTTTCTGCCACCATGTAATACTTTTCATTTTTCTATGCTGTAATGTGGTGTGTTTAATATTACTCTGGGTCATTTCTGCAGTGTTTCATGATTAAAATACAAAGCACACACTGTAGTGTAGTTGATTCATCCTAGTTCTGTGTTGCATAAATAATAATACTGAGTGCTCTGTGGTAGTGTAAGTTCCTGTTAAATATCACCTTATTGGATCCTGAAAGATTAAAACATGGTTAGGTTTATTAGCCAACTGTAAATGTATTAATGTATAGGTTTGGTAAAGTGTGTTAATTTAGACATAATTGAAGGCAAATGAATGGGAATTCTTTGGAAAAAGTCTTATTGGAGTTACCATTTGGTTCCATTTTCGCTCCTTCCCAGGATCCTGTGCCTGTATTCTTCCCTCGTGGCTGTCGTCAGTCTGCCCTGTCTCTGTTCCCAGACTTTTTGCATCCTTCCTCATTCTTTCTTATTAACTGTTTCTAGTTGTGCCTTGTGCTTTACTGTGCCAGCAGGCTGAGAAAAGCTCTTTAATATCCTAGAGTGCTAGGGGGGAGAACTGCCAGAACATGTTGCATCAAGTCTTGACGTTCGTGCTTGACAAGCCTCCGGTTGGAGCTGGTGGGTTCCAGCTCACTGACCCAATGTTGCAGACTCGCACAGTTAAGAGTCTGGGATTATGGCTCTGAAGAGTAACAGTGAATTTGTATGCAGGATTTGGGGTTATTTTGAGTTGCATTTCATGCATACTCAAACCACAAACAAAATATTTTTTTCTCCAGCTGCCAGGTTCACAAATTGAACAGGGAACTGAGACCATATGTATAAATTGCCTTATGAAGAAAAACCTGAGCAAAAACTCAAATCCGGGCTTGTTCAACACAAGCCTGTGCTCAGGCACAGCCTTTGGTTTGCTTGCAGTGCACGGTGAACTGTGCTTGACGCTCTCTTGCACACTGTGTTTGTGTGTTTTTATATATATGATAGTGACAGTTCCCCTAGCAGCTTTCCTGAGGACTTGTGATAGTATTTTGTGTTCAGGGCTAGACAAACAAGTTGTTCCTTTCTTGAAGCAACTCCAGTCATGTGCAGCAGTGGGTTTTGGTGGTAAATTGCCAGGCCTTTGCTCTCAAAGCGGTATCAATATAACTTGCCCAGGAGAACTCTGTAGGAATAGACATGATTTAGGCATGGAATTTTATGAAGCTGTGGTGCAAATGTGAGTTTTGGGGAGCAGATGTGATGGGTAAATGCAAGCATAGATCTCTGCATATAGTTTTCACACTGCTGTCTTGCACTGTAACAGAAACAACTTATGCATTGTTTAGACACAGAGTTATCCATATCTCTGTTCCATGTGGAATCTGGGTTGTCCTATGTTTTCTGAAAAAGAAATGAGCGATGAAGGACTCAAAAGATTAGAAACTTTTAGAAATTGATTCTCTCTGTTGTGTGTAGATGAAATTTGATGGCAAGTTAAAACTGTGTGGGGTTGTGGTTGTATAGTCACTGTAATCCAAAGCAAATCAATAATGCCATTGAAAATGTCAGTTGACTGTTTGTGTTCCTTCTCTTTGCCTCTGTTCCTGCCCTTATTCCAGCATTTGTGTCACTGCAGTGACCGCAGCAAGGGTCTAACCAGGCTAAAAGCTATTGGGAGAAACTAGTTTTCAGTCAGAGGAACTGAGTTGGTTTGTTTTGTGAGTGTATGGACACCAGTACTGAAAGAGCTAAATGACACGCTGCCCCACTAGCACAGTTTTGTACCTGACTAAAGTGACAGGGCAGTAACAAGCGTGTGGGGTGAGAGGAGGTGAGAAATGTCAATGTTTGTCTGGCTTAGAATCGTGAGGTCTAAAAGTGCTTAGAATCGTGAGGTCTAAAGATTCAACTTTATCTCTGAAGAGTTGCACAAACGAAGTAAGCTTATTAAATTATGTTCATATAAGAAAAGGCCAGTTCTAAATATAAGGAAAGAAATATAGCATAAGTTCAATTTTTTGTTTTTCTCACTGTGCCTGGGAAGCTCTAGGCATGATAAATTGTGCCGTATATGCCACAACATATAAGTACAATGTGAGAAGGCAGAATTCAGGTATTTTTCTTACACTTGCATGTAGTCTTTAATACTAATACTGATTAGATGGAATATGTCCAAATACACAAAACTCTTTTCTGTTATGCCTTGTGACTTATAGGCACATGTTGCATCTTGAACATCTTAGTTTTATGAAATTAATAGTTTTAAGGCTTATAGAAGAGTTTTCTTTTTAAAAAGAAAAGTGTTCTGTTTTTATTTCAGAGTTTGAGTACATATGAATAATAACTAATTTAAGAAATTGTAACTATAACGTATAAAAGCAGTTGACTCTAGTTGTGATTTCATTTTTAACGCCCACAGCAGGTATATTAGTAATTCAGAAAATGACTGTGACAAATATAATTACGTTAACTTTATATATTATTTACCCCCTTTTAAGATAGGTGCTTCAATGGTATTTTTTTCTCAGTACAGAAGCTTTGAACAGATGGAAAAAATCTCATTGCTTGTGGCATATTAAAAGGCAGGGTCTACTTCTGTAATGAGTAGATTCTTCCAAATGATATGGTTTGATTCAACATGAAACGATTTATTTCAGTTTAATTAAAATTTGCAGAACTTATTTTATGTTCGCATGATGTAAATACAGTTTGTCTGCTGTTTTATTCTGTAGCCTAGTAAGGGCTGTGTCTTCATTTAGATTCCCATTCTAAATAATTTGTATTTTGGTTGAATATCCTAATGGCTGCGTGTAAGGTTGGCGTACACCGGGAACATAAGCAGGGTGTAAAACATAAGGAGATGTTCCTGCAAAAACCTGTGTGCCCCTTACTGCCCCCGCCTCCTCAAAAAATCAATTTTAAAGCAACACAGAGTTGCTAAAAACTGTGAACAACCTTGGTTTAGATGGACCTAAAGCTGTCTTTAAAAAAAAAAAAAAAAAAAAAAAAAAAAAGGTTCATTCTTTGCTTAGTTCTAGAGTTAATGTATAACTTTCTGGAATCAGGCTCTCCCTACCCTTCCCCAGTAGTAAAATATTGTATGTGTTTGTGCTGTGCCTTTTTTAAAGTTTCCAACTACAACCTGTTTAAAACTGTTTCCAATTGGCTGATTTTCTTTTTCTTTTTTTGTTAGATGAAAGGGGCACTGACTGAAATTATCCAGCTCGCTACCTTGGATTCAGACCCCTGGGTCTTAATGGTAGCTGATATTTTAAAATCCTTTCCAGATACTGGCTCCCTTAACCTTGATCTTGAAGAACAGAATCCCAATGTTCAAGATATTTTAGGAGAGCTTAGAGAAAAAGGTAAGCCATTCCTGTTGTGGAAAATTACACAAGTATGATACTTTCTGTAGTCTGTTTTTTCACAGCCAGTCTTCTTATTTAAATAGCATTGATATTAGGACAATCAGCAAGGCCATGTCTTACCTACCACATTCTGTTTCTATATTATGGCACTGTAAACTGAGAAGTTTCAAGAATGGTAGCCCCATAATACTTTTTTCACAAATCCTCATAGCTTCCATTGTCAGGTACTGGCCTAAATCTTTAGGGAAGACGACACACGAATTAGTGTGGCTTTAATAACATTGTAGACGTGCTGTCTACACTGTTGCATTGACGGGTAATAACTGAACTACTGCAGCTTAATAAAGTTGAGCTTTGGTTTTGTTTTTCCCATATGCTGCTGTGTCTTGAATCTTGTGTTACATAAGAGGGGAGAGTAAAGATGCAGTGTCCTGTGTGCACAGCCTGGTCCCGTTGTGGAGGTAGCACCCGTTGTATTGTGCCCGTGGCTGCCTCTTTGCTGGGAGTCTCCTCTGGCTGACAAGGACAGGATCTGATGGGGAAACATGGATGTGAGAAGAGCCCTGTTGCTGATGTCCACCTAACTATGGAGTGCCTAGGAGTCAAAAATACTGTCTCAGATTCTTGCACAGTTGCTGCTTCAAGCAATATAATAAAAAGAGATGCAAAACCCGCTCCTATTATAATGGAATTGATTTAGCAAATTGCCTAAAAAGAAGCCCTGGGATGTCAATGGATAAAAACAAGAGTCTTGGAGTTGGTTTGCACTAGGCCAGTAATGGCTTAGAGGTGAAGCATGTTGTTTTCTCTAGGCTTCTGTTTGTTAATTTCCTTTTTATGTGCAAGTTTTATAGAATCAGAGAAATCCATCTTTTTTTATCTTTCTCCTCTTTAAAAATAATATAATGTATGTGATTCCTGTAATTCAACTGGGTGTAATTAAGTTGGAACTTGGTGTTTAATGGAAAAAATTACAACCAACGAACTTTGATTTCTTCCCTATTTTAGTCAGTCCTAATAATTAAAATAAAATTATTCTCCTGGTGCTTAAACAGAAACTCTGAAACTTTATAACAGGTATATGCTCTAGTTCTAAAATGCTTTATATCAACTATCAGAGAGCTACTTATACTCATGTATATTGTGTTAACTCTTCATGCAGTAAGTGAATGTGAAACATCAGCTATGTTGCCGCTGGAATGCCAATACTTAAACAAAAATGCCTTGACAACACTAGCTGGGCCACTTACACCCCCAGTGAAACACTTCCAGCTGAAAAGGAAACCTAAAAGTGCTACTCTCCGAGCTGAGCTCTTGCAAAAGTGTAAGTAGTATGATACTTAGCTGATAAAACCGAGCAACGGATTAGGTTGTGAGTGGAACAATGCCATTTAGTTGATTTCTCCAGGATACAGAAATATACATGATCATTTTTTTTTTTTATAAGGGCTTTACTGACTAACTTTCCTCTCCCTCCCTGCTTTGATACACAGTCATGTGGAGGAGCAGATGAGAGTCATTCTGGCTGTCCAGATTTCAAAACCTACAAAAAGCTGTGTTTTTAAAGCACAGATAATTTCTCTTGTCACAGTCGGAGATTAACAGTTGGTTGTGAAGACCTGTGAGAAAACTTTATTTAAAGCAATTGCAACAAAACCAAAATGAGAATCTTGTGTTATTTTACATAGAGTAAAATGCATACATATTTACATACATGTATATTTTGGTTGTACATTTAGTATGTGTACTTTTGTAACAGAGCACAAGGGCTGCTAACTCATGCTTTCTTTCACTCCATTTGGCCTCAGAGGGTGAAAGCCAAGAAGCCTTTCATTAACAAAGCAAAATATGATATGCATATATGAACTGGTGTGTGTGTATTAACTAAATCATCTTAAAGTATCTTGTGCCTCCTGCTCTGTTGCAACAGCTTGTTTCTTTCTTGCTTGTGACTTGAGGCCTCTTTAATATATAAAGCCCTTTAACATTTTTATGAATTTTAGTTGATCCTCTTGGATAATTTTTTTACTTTGATATATATGTTTTTCTAATTTGGGCCATTGTCAGTTGCATTGTCATGCGGATCTTGCATTTTTCTCATTTATTTAATTTGCCAAGTTTAAACGACTATTTTAAAAATTAAAATGTATTTGTGGCTATTTCTGTCTTTTTCTGTATTACATGTATTATTAGCTAGTATATGTGTGTATATACTTTATTATGTGTGTGCATATAAATGTATATAAACTAGTATATGTATATTATTTACATAAGAAATAATGTATTGTATTTTTTCAATTGAGGTTCTGTAGTAACTAAAGCTCTTCTCTTTTTAGCAACAGAAACTGCCCAGCAGCTCAAGAAGACTGCAGGAGTGCCTTTTCATGCCAAAGGGAGGGGACTGGTCAAAAAAATAGATACAACAAGTATGACTCACTTGTATTACTTCCCTGACAGTAAATCTGATAGAATAGCACAGAATGAAATTTCAGTCTGTTTTTTTTTAAATTATTTTTAATTATTTTTATAAAAATCATTTCTGATCAATGGAAAGGACTTCTCCCCTTCTGTTTTGCTTCCTGCTGCTATTTACATGTTTCTAACATGCCTTATTTAAAAGAACAAGAGCTTTTCTCAGTTAGCAAGTGTGTCTGTCAGGCTAAAACATCCAGCTAGATCACGCCCATAGACATTGGTAAGAGCTTAATTTTCATCACTCCAGGAATAACTCCTGACTAAGACATCTTGCTCCAAAAAGAAACAGAGCAAGTGGATCACAGTAGTCTGCTGTGGTCTTTTAAATACTGAAAGTATCATGTATCTGTAGAATTTCCATGTAGAGAAAGCACGTGGGGAGTTGGAACACACTGTAGTTAAGTGTTGTACATGGAATAACTTGTACTTTCTTTATAGAGGATAGGTTAGAAATAACAGATAAGAAAAGTACAGGTAAATCAATCTCTAGCAAACAGTTTCAAACAAGTTAGGAGCCATCCAATTTTTGTGATACTCTTAATTGATTTCTAAAGGTTTAGTAGCAGTAAATAGTAATATTCGATTAAATAATTAATATTAAATAGCAATTATATATAGTATTATAACATATAATATAATAATATAAAATAGTGATAATAATATTAAATAGTAATATTTCAGTGGGATAGGATGACCATTGCTGTTAAGGCACATTGGTTGTTTCTGTTAGTGGTCATGACAAAAATACAGAACTATTAATATTAAGTTGAAAAGTTAATTTCAACTTGTTTACTGAAGTTCCTGGGTTCGTGAATTTTTTTGAATAAGTTTCTGACTGGAAACAAGAAAGGGTTCAAAATTAGTAACACGCTTTAAATGCTTGCAACAGCTAAATATTTTTGACTAACGAAATGATTCTGAGAGAAAATCTGATGTGATTATTATGGTAGCTAGAACCTGTGAAATGTTTTGTGTAGATACTGTTTATCATGCACCGTTTTGAGCACTGAAGGTTTTTAGCCACATGTTCATATGTGAAATGCAAAAGGTGGAATTGTAATTTGAAAGAAAAACTGCCTAAATACCGAAAAATTACCTTAAAAAATTGGACTCTAGCTTTTATGCTTCCCTGAGTAGTGAAACAATTATTTGCAGTGTGGAAACAGGTCAGATCCTCTGTCCTGTGCAAGCAGCAGCTCCAGAATTTCCCACGGCCATAGGATAACAGCACTAGCCAAATGGGAATCTTTTTTTCCTGCCCACCCACCAAAAAATTTAAAACTCTTTAACTCCTTTTCTACCAAATTCAAGGCATTAGATTTATCATTCCTTTTTAAATAAAAGGTGGGGAGTTGGGGGCTTTGGAAGCCTTAGAGGTAAAGATTTATGCCTCATGTTCAGAGGTTCAAAATATAGTTGTTCTTTGGGGACCAGCAACTGAGATGTTAAGGAGTCCTATGCTATTTATAATAAGAGTGGTGATTTGAGACACTTTGAAACAAGCTGAGGTGGCCACCTGCAGCTTATAAAGTGTCCAGGTGTTGAATGACTGGTAGCTCAGATGTCTCCACAGGGGAGCTGCTGCCTTCTGAGTTCCTGAACCTCAGCTGATGAGAAAGTTTCCTCTGTGGGTGCTCTGTGGGTTGTCAGCCTCCCCATATTGTTGTAAAGCGGTGGCACCCCTGGTGAGGGGTTTCCTATCATCCTAGCTTGTCACCAGAGCCCTGCTGCCTGCTTCTCTGTGTCTGTGTGTGCTGCCATCGGGCCCGGGGCACCTTTTGGTTTGTGGTAGGGAGGGAGGTCGTCCTGCAAGAACTTACCTTGCAACGACAACAATTTCTGCTCAACCAGGACATTGTGCTCCCATCCTGTCCTTGGCATGTCTCGACAAACAAATATGAGTCTGACTCCTCACAGTCCCACTGCGGCCTGTGATAGTTGAGGCTCTTCCGTAACCGCAGATTACACATTAGCAGGAATACTCATGTTAACTCAGTTACAGAAAGTTTAAGCAGCTATACCCCAAATCTTCAATTAAGTACAGTTTTTACTGGGTGACTGTATTTTTAAAAGCTTGAAGAGTAACCTTGGTAGTAATCAGATTCCCCTGTTTCGATAACAGTGCATCTGTCTGATTACTTGGTTTAAATGTATTTGAAAATATTCAGGCGTACAGCTGTATAATAAAAACAACTTAATCTTTGGGATTAAAGGTATTAACCTATAAGGTTCTTTTAGTCCTTGTTTGGAAGCTAAAACTCAGTCTCACCTTTGAAAAATATTTGCTTAAAAAAAAAAAGGTATGAAATTGCACAAGGGGGAAAGAAAGAGCTTAAGAGACCTCCTTAATGTTGTTCTTTGTTAATAAGTCAACCAATATTGCAGTTGTTGCTTTTTTCTTGATCTTCCTCAAGCACCACTCAAAGGAATACCAAAACAAGCTCCATTCAGAAGTACTTCAGCACCTAGTGTATTTAATCCTTCTGGAAACAGAACTCCCATTCCTCCTTCAAGAACACCTCTGCGGAAAGAAAGAGGAGTAAAGGTACGTGAACTCTTTCTTAGTCTCTTGCATCAGCTCAGCTCTCCTGCCTGGTCTAAAGTGAATTTATGTTGCTATTTTAGTAGGATATCAATATATATACAGGAAAAAAAAAACCAATACTTAAATAGCAGCTGCTACCTAAATTTGCTAATGGGTATTAAGATTTCTGTACTCTCTTTCTAGCTTTTAGATATCTCTGAGCTGGACATGGTAGGTGCTGGCCGTGAAGCTAAAAGAAGAAGAAAGACATTAGGTTGGTATAGAGTGCTGCTTAAAAAGACTGTTCATGTACCCTGTGAGTCAGATCTAGGTTTATAGCATCATTTTATTCTCAATATAGAATTGTCCTCCTTAGCTAAGATTTTGTTTATTGTTTTTAAAGGCAAATCACTACCTTCCACCTGCCCCAAAAAAGGCAGAATTCCAGATTTGAGGGAGGAGTTCCATTCTTCCCCCCACTCAGTGTTGCTAATGTTTACCTTTGTTCAAACCCCTTGTGTTACTAACCCTTTGCATTTCCTGTATGTAACAAAGATAAGTGAGAATAGCTTCAATATAAAATTGTTCTGATATGTTTTGTGTGCTTATTTCTACTGACTGAGTTGCCAAGTAAATCAACGTCATCTTGTAAAATTTGTCTATAGCTCTCCCCAAAATAAAGGCTGAGGTATTTTAACAGGTGAATGATAACCTCAAAACTACTTCTAATTCAAGCAATAGTACAGTGTTCAATTTAAGTGTATCAGGAAGCTGCACCGGGCAGTATATTTATCCTAAAACCACTTTTTTAACAAAAATTGAGTAACATCTCAGAACAAAACCATAGTCACGATTAAATTTTTGATTCCCATCCCGCCCCACCCCTTTTTTTTTGTACTTTCTAATGTCACAAAATTAGCTAGCATTTCCAGAAGCTTAGTTATTGTGTTTTGATGATTGTATATTGCTTGTGGTCCATTCTATCATTAGAATGGACTACATTCTAATGTATTTTAAAAAAATCATATGAAAAGCAATGTATCTGCTAATCTTTCAAGTCACAATGTTATTAGCAAACTTTGAAATATGTGGGGTTTATATCTCTGTTAAAAGAAAATCTGATTAATAATAAGAATGCTAATTTCTAATTAATAATTAGAAGTCAACTCAAGAGAGCTTTCCTGTTTTTGCTTACAGATACAGAGGTGGTGGAAAAGCAAGCCAAAGAAGAAACGGTAGTGGAAAATGCTACTCCAGATTATGCTGCTGGCCTTGTGTCTACACAGGTAAGAAACCATGAGATGAGAAACTGTTTTTATTTAATTCTAAATATTGTTATGATACACTTTAAATAATTGAAGCTTGACTCTTAATGTAAAAATCCGAGTTATTCCAAAAATTTCATTTTACCTTTTCACTAAAATGGATAAAAAAGTTCAATGCAGGATGAAGGTAAGTTGTTCAATTGTTTTCTCATTACTGCTCTAGGAGATCAGGTTAGTTATGGGGTGTTTTTTAACCGGGGGTTGCCTTCTGTTTTCAAAGATAAGATAGGAACGTTCTCTGAAACTACACAGCACCTTTTGATGCTCCCTGTCGAACCAATGTGTTCTAAGCTCAGAAGTACAACTGTTGATGCTGCTCTTTGTCACTGTGATGGAGTGACTAAGGAATGAGGATGCCCTGGAAAACAAAGGAATTTTTATGGACTCTAGGTGTCTATTCCATGTTTCAGCTTCAGACTAAACCCCAAATCTTATCCAAATATCATCTAGGAGAAATGTACACTTCATAGAGAAGTACTTGCTGGATGAGGAAGCCAGAGTGCAGCTATTCATATGATAGATCTCCCTGATATCCTAAATATGAAACCTGGGTGGCCCATACTGACAGCAGCATCTCTGAGGAGATCTGCTGTTGAGCTTGTCCCATTGAACAGCTGGGCAAAAATGAAAAGACCTTGCACTTTACTGATTAGACCAATCACTTACTGATTAGGAGCACCTTAAAGGTGGTAGATACATACTGCCTCCTCACCATACTGGAGGAGCACAGGTTAGCCAGTAGGGCAGACTGTAATCCAGACAGCATTTCTTTGACATGTTTTATTTTGGACTTGCTCTCACCTGGTCTGCTAGGGTGAAAAACTGTTAGTAATTGGAGTGTACTTGTCATTTAGTTTAATCTGAAGAGTTTGCATGCTTAAGACCATTCTGTGTTGCAAACAAATGCAGTAAGCAGAGACAGTAGGGACAGTTGCATCAAAAGTGCATTCCTGATGCCAAATTTGCCAGGTTGGAGGGAGAAACCCTAACAAAACTCTGGTGTTTTAGTGAGGAATGCTTTTCAGTGCCCAGGAGCTATAGCTGAGTATATATGCAGCCAAATGCAAAGGAAATCTTTTGAAATTTACCTGTCTGATGGCTTAAGAAAAATGCCTGCATGCTAATATCTTTCTCTATAGTTGTTTTTTTTCCTGTGTGGCCTTTATTTATTTAAGTTGGTTTCAGAAAGTCCCACTACCACTGAAAAGTCCAAAACATCCAAAGGCAATAAGTTTATTTTTCAAATAGCCCATAAGGTTTGGAGGTGGCCTCTCTTCCTGTTAACAGTCCTTCCTAGAAGTTGCCTTGATTTACTAAAAAAGGGAGAGGTAACTTTTTTTCTGCAGATGAGGCTTATTGGAAAGACCATCGTGCAAGACCATATTTCAGTCAGGATGTGATTTCTTGTAAAAATGCTAAGTCCCTTCTGAAATCTCCCTGTTTTTATTTGGCAAGTATTTGCCTGGAATTACTTTGAATAGCTAGTTTCTCGAGGTACCAGTACATAACTTGAGGCTGCTCCAATGTTCTCTGCCTCTTGGAAAGACATAAACTTACTTAAAATTTTCAGTGTTTTCACTTTAAATATTTAAAGTAGTTACTGTTATATTTTACTCTTCTATAAGTCTGTGTATTAATATATGATGCTTGCCAGAAGAAATTACTCTGTTTACAAGACCTCTGACTCAGATGACAAGCCCCTGGAGCCTAACAGTGAGCACATGCAGTCTCATGGTTTTGAGAATAGCAACCTGTGATGCCCACATGTTGTTTTCAGCATGTGGGCAGACACTGGCATGCACACATCAGTGGTTGAGGCCTTAGCATTCTGCAGAAAGAAGGGAAAAATATCTTTGTGACAGACTCCATCTGAAACTTATTTTTCAGGAATATCCATTTTTTTGTCCAGTAAAGCTACCTTAATCTCTATCTTCTAGACTTGCACCACCAAAAGTTTTCCTCCCTCATCTGCATATGTTTAGTTAGGCTGGATTGGACTAAAGTGAAGAACAAAGATCTCCATAAATACACAGTGCTTCTGTGTTTATTATCGTGCTTAATTGCTATGTGCAAAACATCTTTGGCTTGAGCCTGGCTGACATCTGTCCCTTAGGTCAGTGTTGACTGTCAGCTTGAGTGGAGACTGGTTGGTCTGTGTCTTTACTGCTGACTGGGCCTGCTGGGTACGTATGTCCCAGGGGCCTTCACATTTTGGGCCCTATTTTCAAGGCATATTTTTGTAGGACTTTTGCCCATGGGAGAACACAGTTTTTTTGCGTGTTAATCATGAAGCAGAAGAACGATCAGCAGATCACTTATTTTTTATATTAACTCTAATTGTTCAAAGTGTATCTGCAAAAATTTCATGTTCCCATCTCCGTACTGCTAGCTGAGAAATTGCACAAAGGAATTGTTCACAATTTGAGATCACTCTGCATTTTGCAGCCTGAGATCAGGTGTTTGCAGGGCTCCTGGTTTGCCAGTATGTATGGACCATGCAGACAATCTTCTTTAGAAGAGATGCTTCCTCTAGAGAGAAATCTTATCAGTACCACATATCAGAGAATCATAGTACACTGTATATAATCATCTTGCTGAAAGCTTTAATCTTGAAATGACTTAAGGATTACTGGGAACTTTTAAAGTCTTAGATATACAATGTAGGATGCTAGTTTCAGGAGCTACAGCTACTGCAGCTCAATTCTTTGTAAAAGTACATATTTTATTAGACTAGTACTTTTTTTTTCCTAGCTTAGTTTCTTCCTTTAGAAGCAACTTTGATCTCTGTCAAGGGGGTAGAAGCTGTTTGCGTGTGTTTTTTTTTTTGTTTTTCCTAGAGTAATTCTAATATTTTAAGTTTGTATAATAAGTTAAGGTTGAAATAACAAACTGAAATAACAAACAACTCTACCTTAGCAGAGTCATCCATAATTAAGTCCCAAAAGGAACATCCTAGCAGAGCTAATATTGAAATTGCATTTTAAATGCAGTTTTAAAATGCAAACAGCTAATGAGTTGATGCAATGTGGCTGTAACGCTTTCTTTGCTCTTTTGCAGAAACTTGGCTCATTGAATAATGAACCTGCACTGCCTTCTACAAGTTACTTACCTGCTACCCCCAGTGTGGTGCCATCTTCCTCATATATCCCAAGCTCTGAAACACAGCCAGGTAAAGTCTCTTTTGCTATGGGGCTCACTATCTCTTCTCCACAGCTCTCCTGTCCAACTCTGCTCTTATTTACAGACATACTGTCCCTCAACTCTAATCAAACTGACCATAACAGTCTACAAAATTTGTAAGAGAACCTTATTCTGGGTCTTCAGATATTCAAACCTGTCATTTAGTCTAAATAAAGAAAATGGTTGTTTTTTTCTTAAAATGACAGTTAATTAAGTCAAGCAAGCAAAGCTGCTTCCTGTTTGTTTTTCCTAACTCTCCTAGAGGAAATCCAGCCTTCTTTTCATCCCTCAAGAAACACTGGTAATACAGGTATTAGGTATTATACTGGTAATACAGTCTTAGAATATGCACACCTCCATGCGCGTGCACTTGCAAACTAGATGGTTGCTTTCAAGTGCCAGATACATTTCTACAGGTACATACTGAAATAAATTTCATTCAGGCTGGGGTCAAACATTCCATTTCTTTTGCCTTTTTGTCCTCTTATAAAGGTCCAGCAGATAATAGCTGACTTCCTGCTTAGCTGCATAAATAGAAGGTGTTATGCCTCAATGCTAGAAAACTTTCCAAGAGTAAAATAATGAGCATTCATACAAAAACTTTATTTCTGGACCATTTAACTCAGCAGCTCTTTTTTCTCTTTTTGGATGCCTGAGTAGGATTCATTACTAAAGCTGGTAGTTGCCAGAGAATCAAGGTTTCAATTCAGTTCATTATTTTAACTCTTGCTCGTGAGATTTGATACTTTAACCATGCTTTATGAATATTCTTTGTGAACGTGAGTGAGATGTGGCATGTTGGTCATTATAGGAAGAGGCATATGCAAAACGTGATTGCTGACTTGGCCCTGAAATAGTGTTCAGAGCCTTTCCGAAGGTCTGTGTATATCTCCCTTTGCCAGAAAATTGGCAGCCCCAGAAGGAGCACAGCCGAGAGCACATCCTTGGTAGCAGCTAGCATTATTTTTCAGAACATTGGCGTTGTTTTCAACATCAGAAAAAGCCTAGCTTAAAATTCCCTCTTTATTTTTTCTAAATTAATTTTTCCATTCTCTGGCATGTGGAAGATCATACTCCCTTCATGGACAAGGAATACAAAGCTGTTTTCTTAACATAAGACACAAAATCCACAGGTTTGGTTTTCTGTAATCTGAAGTCACGTGATTAAGACATACGTTACTTTATGCAGGTCACTCATTCTGAGATGAGAGGAAGCCAATACTAAGACTTAGAGATACTGATTCCCATATGCAGTCGCTTCCTTCACTCTGTAATCAGTAACTCTGAACCATACTCTCTATTTTCTTCTGTAAGGAACAGTGTTCTGCGTGTTTGAATTCATTGTGGTGCTTGCCTGAGAATTTGGTCTCTCCTGCTTTATTTAAATGTATCTTTAAAGCAGATGGTAACTATTCCATCATCACATGTGCTCAGATACTTCAATCTGCAGTGACTTGATTTTGTGCTTTGCAAGCAAAGTTTCAAAGTAGTACATTCATTTTTGAAATCAAATCGGGACCACAGTAAAATTTGAGAATAATTCTACAGAGTTTTTAAACATGAAGGCAACTATTAGAACTAGATATTGGATAATCATCTTAGGCACAAGACACATGTCTGCTCTTTATCAGCTGTGTTGGAAATAAACGTGGATATAAAACAGAAGAATTCACCTAGCTGATAGATTTAGAAGAAGTGTTAGTAGAAGCTATTTGGAAATATTTTAAGTTGCTTATCTTACAGTTTCTTGTTGTGATGGACAAATTCACACAAGAAGGGTAGCAATGTTCATCTTAAGTGCTCAGTGTCCACTTAACAATATGCTCCTATCTAGTAAGATGTGAAAAACAGTGCTGTGGTTGTGCCTACATGGTGGAGAGTGATGGACTCAAATTCACTCAAGCGCTTGAAAGCCTAATGCAAAAGACATCAGCCAAGCTCAAGGCTGTATCTGCCTTTAACTCCACTGTGAGCCAAAAGTGGAGTGAGTCACCTCAAGCCTTGTGAGATTTGAATGGTGCTTCAGAGACTGCACCTCTGTGTAAGAGGCTCAGGAAAGAACGTGGGTGCCTGGAATATGCATTGGGTGATTGCTGGGTGCAGCACGGATGGTAACTTGATCAAATACCTAAGCTTTGGCCACATGCAGTTTTGGAATAACAGCTTCCTTATATTGTGTACAGGTGAATAAATGGAACTGAAAAAAGGTCAAAATTGGAATGGTTGGTGCTGTGGACTTTTAACCCTCATAGCAGTTAGTGTTTAATAAGTACACATCAAAGTACTTGTGTCCTCAATATTTGCTTAGTGGCTGAGACTTAACTGCTCTTTCCTTTGGGAGCTGCTGCTACGTTAGGTAAAAGTAGATGAAATATTTTTGTGATCTTGACTCCTGCATAAAATAACGATAATCTGGATAGGGCTGGAGTACATATGGTTGGTATGGTTGTTACAGCAGCATCCACTAAAAAGTAAATAATACACTTTCACTTAAGTCTGGTTTAAACCTAAAACTTATTACACAGATTATTTGATAATCACAATGTAGAGTATAATATGTATTGGAAAATAAGTCAATTTTCTAAAAATTGGTAAAGATAACTGAGGGGGGAAAAGAGCATTCAGCTCTCACAATTTTCACATAGAGATTAGATAGCATATTAAAAAAAAATGACACTAAAATGAAAGAGTTGGAATTTCTAGATCTTTTTGAAGGCCACTGGTGATACAGATCCCTGTAGAAATAATATTTTAAAATATCTTGGTGGTTTTTTTTCAGCGGGCTCTGCACGAGAGGCCTTGCAGACTAACAGACAGACTGAAGAGCCTGCAGCTCCAAACGCTACCACAACTCTCCCTGCACAGTTCAAGCAAAGAACACCCATGTACAACAGTAACTCTAACCCTCCTGCAGCAACGCCTACCTCACCCCTGACACCTACCACCCCTCCTGCCATTTCCCCTGCAGCACAAGCACCTCAAGTGGCTCCCCAGACTCAGCAACAGCCACCCCCGAAAAAAAGCCTCTCTCTCACAGTAAGTAAAAATAGATTCTTTTGGACATCTGAGTGTTTCAAATGGTTATTTTCACGTTGATATGAAAGTTCAATTTTTAATTATTTTTCTTATTTGGTACCTTGGCAATTCCTGACCTTTTGGTCATGAAGGTTTAGACTGCTTAATTATAAAGAAAGATAATCAGAATGCTTTGCAGCTTCATTAGCATGACTGTCTTTTAAAGGTTACTTGCAGAATTTTTAGTTGTGCATTGTTGATTTTACAATAAGATGTCTTTTATTTGCTACTACTTGTTACATAAAATGTGTTCCCCAATACAAATAATTTCACCATGTTTCTTAGGATTACCCAGTAAGGCAGCCAGAATGGGAGAAAGGCATGTTTCTACCAGAGCAGTTGCCCAACTGCTTGCATATGATCTAAGCTTCTAAGAATGATCCTGTCATTATAGTGGTAGGATAGAATATGCCAGTATATTAACCAAGGGTGTAAACTTTTTTTTTTTTTCCTCTCAAAAGTCTTAGAGCCTGGGGATAGGGAGGAGACTAAGGAGACTAAAATACTCATGTGTAATTCCTTCAGTCCTGAAAGTTTTTATTGATGGTATGATTGCATGTATGTGCGTGCTTGAAATACACAGGTAATTAATACAAGATAGAGCTGATTCAAAGTCTGGTAAGCATAGCTGTAAGCCTGGCTTGCAGGTTCTGAACCTTAAGCCCAGTGACTATTCTTTTTAGTGGCATGGCTTCTTTTATCAAAAAAAACTCCCCCATAAATCACTGCAACTCCAGGTCGCAACAGGAAGCGGGGTTGGGTGTTTTGTTTGTTTTCTTTTGTTCCCTAATGTCACAAAAACTCAAAAGTAAATGGGAACATTTAATCTATTCAAGGCTATTTGTTTGTTGGAGTTTTAGAATTTAATTGCCCCTATGATAAGTGATAGGGATGTGTGTCAAAGAAGGAAAGCCTTGAGGTGAAAGGTGTTTTTATAAACGTATATGCTTGTCTCTGGATATTAATTCAGTACCTATTAGTATACAATGTTTTATTGCAGTGGAATTCATATTGTTATCTTTTGCAGAGGGAGCAAATGTATGCTGCACAGGAAATGTTCAAGACTGCAAACAAAGTTACGAGGCCAGAAAAGGCTCTTATACTTGGATTCATGGCAGGATCCAGAGGTATGTATTGAGACTAACTTAGTTGCTTTTGAATATCTAAACTTGAAATACACATTTAGAAGTGCTAAAATGTATATGTGAATGAAGATATTCTGCTTTAGCACTACTCTGGCCTTTACTCTCGTATTTTAAAACTGTAGTTATTGGGAATGTTTAAGCCCGTTATCAGTACAAGTCAAACTCTCAGTCAGAGGATCCATGTGTACAATGAATATGTGTAACTAAAGACACAAAATCATTGCTTAGGGACTGACGTGAAACAAGACAGCCAGTCAGAAGAGTGAGTGGACTGGTTGGGGTCTAGTATTGTGTTTAGAAAACCAATGGGTGCAGATTCTTTCAGGGTAAGCTGAGGTGAAAGATTCAGAGCTTCTTCACTAACTCCTTGATGTTAGAATTGCATCAACTGTTGTTTCTGAGACCGTAGATAACCATAGGTGCTGTGAATCACAGCAAGATAAGGAACAACAGCAAGTTGTCTCGTAGCTAGATCCTGTCATATGTTGGCTTTGATAGACTAAAGCTGTTTTACTCAGAAGAGTATCAGCTGTAAGATAAGAATGGGCACAGGAGTTAAGTGAACTCTCATCTGGACCAGCTTTGGTTTCTAATTTGGTATTTGAGGGCTCTGTCACTGGAGCCTGTGTGGCTCGTGTCTTGGGACTAATACAGTAAATAATTCAAGATGACCAAGGTAGAGTTACTGCGATGACTCCTGCATTAAAATATATAATCACACATGTTAAACTGAAGTGCTTAATATGAAAGAGATACTTGAATATCTGCAAGGATTTTTTGTAATGCAGTGTAACTTTGTATGTGTATATACTTTTTTCTTATGTACATAAAAGCATTCATATAATAATAATGTTGACATCTTCTGGAAGTTGGGTATGTGACTGCCAGCACTGATCTACCTGAGCTTCCCTAGCTGTCAGCCTAAAATGTAACAGTCAGTGCTCCTGCTGGATGGGAAATGAGTTTTCTGGATGAGTGGATTTCAGTGAAGCTGTGTTGGCGCTTCCTAAACCATGGAGAATTGTTGAGGCTTTTCATTCTGTGTATTCCACGTAAACTCACTTTTTGTTAATTCAGGTTTATAAAATTCCACTTGAATAAAAGCTTGTGTTGCAGTTCTCAAGACAGACAGGAGTGCGGTTGGCGTGTGGTTTTGCCCGTTTTATTGTTCTTCCAGCTAGTTCAACCCTGAGGTTCATCTTTTTGGGTTTGGTTTTTTTAGGTGTACCGAACACTGAGCCATGCAAGCAAGAAGGTCTTTGTGTGGCTACATGTGTTAGTGGTGCATACCTGGTGTCAGACTGATGTCATGTCCTCTCTCCCTGCTCCAGTATTAGGCATTGAATCTTCTTTAAGTGCTTTTTATCTATTAAAAAAGTACTAGATTGTGTTTAACTTGTCTTTATTCTTGTTTTTGCAGAGAATCCTTGCCAAGAGCAAGGTGACATCATCCAGATTAAGCTTAGTGAGCATACAGAAGACTTACCAAAGGCAGACGGCACTGGCAGCACCACGATGTTGGTTGATACAGTCTTTGAAATGAACTATGCTACTGGTGAATGGACCAGATTCAAGAAGTACAAACCTATAACTAATGTTTCGTAAGAGAGGCAGCAACAACAGACTGGACCAAATCAAGCTTAGAGTCAACCAGCTCATAGAGTATGTCAGCTGTACAAAATGGCATTCATGTGTACGTTTCTTATTACCCTCCAGAGTAGAAGTTGTGGCTCTTCAACATAACTGGGCTCAGTGAACACAGAAGAAGGTGTCAAATTGACAGGGTTTTTTCTTTATTTTTGTCTTTAAATCAGAAAGGGGCGGGAGGGAAAGGGAGAGGCAGTCTTGTGGGATGGGGGGATTGTTGCTGTGTTTTGTTTTCCTGCAGTTCGAGATGCCGGGAATGGAGATCCCAACTGCAAGATTACATATGGGAGCAGTTTACTTCCAAGTACCTGAGGAAAAGACTACTGCGCAGTCATTCACAGTTTACCATTAAATAAGGGCACAGGTTTTGATTGTAAAAATGTTTTCTTTGGCTACGTGGGTTCTGTTGTAAGAACGGACACTTAACAAAACACCAAGCCATAGTGCTTTAACTCAGCTGCAGTAAAACTAAATATTGCAGGTGGTAGATGTCTAGTTTCTAACGGTACCCACTGTATGTTTAGCTTATTTATGCTTGGGTCATAGAACGGGATTGAGCAGCTTTAACCTTATTATATTGTGAATGTCTATGCCCAGCATGAGTTAACCTATATTTGGCATACATTGAGAGAAACTGAGTATTATAATTTTCTGAAGAAAAATATCAAATTTAAGATTGCCAGAAAAAAAGAAAGGAGCAGTGGCTTGTAGTTATCTGGAGGTAGTAGCTCTTTGCCATGGGGATTTTAGGGCAGAGCTAATCTGTGGCTCTTGCATAGCAAGCCCTTTAGACAATGTGAGAGGATATGAAACCTGTTCATCCCAAGACCAGTTGCAGCTTCTTTTAAAAAAGATAGTCCTAGTGGTGATTGAGTGACACGTCTCTGAATACAGATGGTCAGAACGGTTTGTTGTCTTGAAGCAGTGTTAACATAAGGTGGGTGAGCAGTCATCAGGTATTTGATAACCCAGTTCTAATCTAAAAACAAATTTTAATGAGTGTAGCTGTGGTTCTTACCAGTGCAGTTATATCAGTATAATCACTAATGTGGTTGCAATTATGCTGGCATATAAATGTGCCTTATACTTGTCCCCTCCTGGTAGAAGCACGTTTTTATCTCTAACAGGGTTTACACCACCGGTATCATCCTGCTTTAATTGTACAGGTATAGCTTGCATTTATTGACAGGGCTTACGTACATAGTCCAGGATTCATCCTTCAGGCACTTGGATTCATTCTGCATTGGAGAATTTGGCTTAAAACTTTGGTTCTGCCAGTGCTCACACTGGCTCTTGTTAAGAAATAATGCTCAGAGGGGAGAAGCACAAAGATGAGTAGCATAATAGTTACCTGAGGAGGGACCGAGGAGGCACCTTGGGCTAACTGGAGGCTGGCTGGACTGTAAGGACACTGTGAGGCTGGGATTTCTTATTTTTGTTTTTCTTCCCTAAGAAGAAAGCAGACCAAATCCCATCAATATACTTGGATACTAACAAAGGCATTTCAATGAGTGTTTAGCCTTCTGCATTGGGATGTTTTTTAATTGCATTTTTGTTTTTAGCTTTTCAAACTAATTATCCATCGGAACAGGGAGAACATAAACAAGGAAGTCTGTTTTACAGTTTTTTTAAGATATGACCAAAAGTGTAGATTGGTTAACTTTATTTGAGCAAATATACCGCATGTTCTAACTCATAGTGTGTGAGTCACCTGATGGTAGATGCTACCATGATGGTGTGTTAGGCATGTGAGATTTGGACTCCACGTTGACCTTTTGCCCTGGGAAATTTCCTGCACCTGACTACCCTGTTACAGAGGCAATGTAAGCTGCAATTTTGGTTGCAATTTATCTTTTAAACAGTGAAAAATCAGCATGATGAGCAAAGATTTGTGGGTTTTAGTTTTTAGAATGAGTTCACCAAAGTGTTTCACAATGGCTATAACTTATTGATATAATATGTTACACAGTATGGGCTAAGAATAGAATATGAAAAGGGTGTTTTTAAAGAAAAGGGTTAAAGACAAATGACATTCCTTTTCTTGTTTGCATACAGATTTTTAAACAATTTTTTGTGATGGTCAGTTTTGGGTAAAGTAATGCTGTCTTAATCTTGCTTGCTAGACAAGCTGCAAGCACCAAACGGATCTTTTAAGGAAGAGAAATTTTAGATAATTGGTTGACTCGAGGGGTATGTTCTCCCATTGCAAATTAGGGGCTTTCAGTAAAGGCACTTGGTCCTCTCCAGGTCTGCATGTCAGGTCTGTGCTGTTGGGATGGGGAGGGCTCTCCAGGAGGTCACCCAAGGGTGCTGCTGCGGGGCAGGGTGCACCCAGCTGCTGCTGTCCGACTGATTTTAAAATGTCACTCTATCACCCTCAACACCATAGCATTATTTCAAGTTGATCTTTGCATCTAGAGGTGTGTTTTTTTTTCTTTTTTTTTTTCCTAAGGTGACTATAGAAAGGGAAGCCTTTTCAATATGGTTTAAAATAATGATGCTAGTAAGAAATAAAACTGCAAGGAGCTGTTCAGCTCGGGCAATGAAATCACTGAGCCAGCCTGACTGCGAGTAGGGACAGTGCCAGACAGCTCAGAAAGGGCAACACTAACATTCACCTTCAGGGTAGTGAACAGCACAGAATGCAGCCTGGCCCTGGAGCTTGAGAGTTTTTGCTTTGAATGAATATTCAGTCGCTTAGCTGAATTTTATATGGTGAGGATCAATGTGTGCTGCAAAACCAAATGAAAACAGAGTTGACTCTAGAATGATTTGTGGATGCATCAACAGATGACCAGTTCAGAGGTTTCACATTAAAGTTTTGATTGCATCTGTCTCCCTTGCCATTTTCCAAGCATGAAGTGTTAGGAAGCAGCAAGCCCAGGCTTCCTCAGTGCATTTTTGGAGCTCAACAAGGCAGTAAGTTCCAGCTTTCCTTCTCTTCGCTAGTAAAGAGACATCTGATCTACAAGTCTAGGCAAGATATGAAGAATTAGCCTATTTCATTTTACAATGTGGAATACTGGAGAAAGAAGCAATGGAAGTGGCTCGTGTTTTGCCCTGTCATGTCCTAAATTTTACTATTTGGGAAGAAAGAACACATACCTTCATATCCAAGCTGCTTGAAAACTTGTTCCACAGCAAAGTGCTGGTTTCCTTAGGCTCCATCTGAGTGATGATGGCTGCAAGGATCAGAAACTGAGACAAGGTTGATGAAGAAGGTAAATCCAAAGGGATGCTCAGCAAGAGTTCTCATATAGATCCCTTCTCCCCTTTAGCCAGAACAGTTTTCCCTAGTGTAGTGCTCTGTAATCATCTCCATACAAAGCTGTCCAGGCTTGGTATGGCTAACAGTCTAGTATTGGGCCAGTATTTGGGGGGCTAACTCGGTTTTCACTGGTAGCTTTGCCATTTAATCCTTCGGTTAAGTGTCACAGGATGCTGGATGTGATGGGGAGGGAGCCTTCAGTAGCTGACTGATACCTCTATGTGAAATGGGCAGTTTCTCTCACTAGGTCACATCGAAGCTCAGCCCACTTGTCTCGATGAACGAGGCTCGAGACTTTGGCTTTATACAGTTGGAGTGGACCACAGCTTCGGAGTGAGATCTGACCGGGAGAGAAAAACAAACAAACGAAAAAAACAGCTAAAAAATGTTAAGCCAGAGCCCTCTGGGAATCTGGTGCCTTTAACAAGAAATGTCATTTTGTAAAATGTTACATCTATAAGCATAGCCCGTATGTTTTCTATTAATTTTTTTTGTACAGTTGTAAATTCAAAATACTCCATCTTTGGGTACGTATTTTCAGTGTAAGACAGTATGTATAATAAAAATTTAGATTTTCTAAGGAAACAGACTGATGCTTTTTTAAACCACCTTGAATTTCCCCATACTTTATTTACAGCCGCTTTTAGCAGTGAGAACCGGAGGCCGAGTGGACGAACCGCATGATGACGTGTGATGTTGCTTCTGCTGAAGCTCATATCAAGCTCAGTGCTTCTGATGCTGTATGTAAATGCTTTGTGAAGTTGGGGTATGCCAGTTTTGCTGCTCAGGAGCAGCAAAAAAGTAGGAGGTTTTACTGGAAAACCTGCCAAGCAGATTCCCCGAGGCTGCTTCAGCCTTCATGCTGTGCATGGCCCCATCCTGGTGGCACAAGGAGGGTGTCCGTGTGCACGGCCTCCATAGGTGGCACACTGTATGAAACCTGAATAAACCCCCTTCTTCCAGTGCCTCCTTTGGGTGAGTTGCAGCATTTCTCTGCATTCTGCAAGTTCTGAGCCACCTTTCCCAGTTCTAGTGCTGCAGAAGTGTGGTTCCCCTCCCACTCCCTCTCCCTGAAACTCTCCTGTTGCTCAGACAAACCACTTCTGTGGTTCTAGTCTGGTTTATCATGATAAACATGAAGAGTGAGCCTACAGTGTTGGATTATATGGACTGATGTGGCTGGCCTCATCCTGCTTTTCTTCTGTCCAGCTTTAGGCCGTGACTCTGTTAAACCAGCCTGTGCTGGTGCAGGGCCAGGAGCAGTTGGAGGGTGTTTTCTGTAGGATCAACCCTACTGAACAGCCTGGAAGAGAATGTGTTCCAGGTCAGCTGCTCTTGCAGCACGTGTGCTGAGCTGAGGGTAGGCTGAAATGCACATCTTGTTTGTTCTTTCATAGGACATTGGTCTGTCAAAGAGGTTCAATATCACCTGGAAGTTTTTCCGACACGAACTGTCGGGGTGCAGGCCAGTAGCTTCAGCGTGATGCCATGCTCAGGGTGAGTCCTCCTGTTTTACATGAGCAGGGATGTGCCAGGCTGCCTGGCTTCTCTGGATGGCCTGTGAGGAACCAGACCCACCTGCTCCTAGGGAGCTCTCAGTGTCCCTGCGCGTTGCGGCAGGCTTAGCTGCTTGAGGCAGCTGAGTGTTTGCCGTGCTAGTCCCATCCCAATTCCCATGCATGATGATGGCCAAGCATCGCTCTGTTTGAGACTCGGATTCCTAACTAGTGGCAGACCCGGGACAGCTTTAGGACAGGGCATTTCCAGTGCTATTCACTGGAATCTGAAATGACTCGGACTTGGTTCTTTTCCCCTCATTGTGCACAAACAGGTGCACAAATACGAGCTCCCCTGAGAGCAGGGAGGGAAAGACGAGATAGTTGTTCCAAAGCACCTAAAGCAATTCTGCTTTCAGCATATGCTGTGGTTCAAGGCACTTGCGTGGTGCCAGACCTCCTCCTGAGGAACTTGGTAGGTAGTTCTGGCATCTGGAGCTTGCAGCATGGTTCCTGATTTTTTAATTTTTTTAATACTAAATAATATTTGATATTAAAATATATGCTTGCTTCTTCCTGGTCATTTCATGAACAGAAAACCATGTTATGTCTGTAGAGCTTACTGCCAGCCTCCTGAGTGTGTTTGAAAAGCATTAAGAGTCCTGAAGGATTCTTCACAATACTCCACATCTTTTGGGATGTGCCTCAACCTCAAGAACTTGAAGGGTTCTGTGGTACAGGTCCATTCAGCAAAGCAATCTGTTATATGCATCCTTTTTAGTGTGTTTTTAGTGTGGGGTTGGTTGGTGGGGTTTTTTTGTTTGTTTTTTTTTGTTTGTTTTTTTAATCTATCTGCATGTTAGCTGTTTCTCCTAAAGTGGTAGATTCAAACCCTCAACGACTTGTATGTTTGGATTTTAGTGCCTCCAAGTGATGGATCAGTCACTAAAGTCTGACTTCCTCATCTTCAGTCCCTTCATCTCTCAGCAATATTTTTTTTCCATGACCATTCCTTCATGTAGGAAAGCTGCTGATGAGACAGAGGTCTGTATCTTTCCTGCACTGGTTTTGTTGTGGTCACACGTGGAGGAAGCCAGAGCCGGGCTTTCCAAACTCCCAAGTCCAAGGCCTGGAGAGCCAGGAGACAGTGCTGCAGCCAGGCTAGGGGACGTGTATAACTGAGCAGCCTGGGCAGGCAGCTTTGCTAGGGAAGTTATTCTCTGCTGTCTTGATGAGCATTGAGGATGTCTTGATGAGCACTGAGGAAAGGAAAGAAAGGAATAAGCAAAGCACCTTACCACTAATGAGAGATTCCTTGAGCCATGTATCAACAAGGGCATCTCCCCTTCTACAGAGTCCTTTTAATGTTTTTACTTATGGTTTGAATGCAGTAGAGCTGAGGCCCTTAGGGGTGGGTAAAGCACCATCCCTTCAGAGCAGCTTGTTCCTCATGAAGGAGGTGTCGTGGGTAATGCTGAGGCTGTTACTACTGGAGCTACAGAGGTCTCCAGCTACGTGTTCAGAGGGTTGTATCCTCACACGGATACGGAGAGAGGTGGCTGGGGAGTCTCCACATACCCGTAGGTGACCTTGGCAATGCCCCTGCTGCTCAGTGGTGGCTGGTCCTAGACAGCTGCACATAGTGCATTTATAGGAAAACATTTCGCATAAATGTGCTTATTCCCTTTTACTAAGAGACTTCCCTTCTCTTAAATCATACTTTTCTTCTGTGTATTTCCCTGCAAGCCAGCAGATGAGTGTGTGAGTCCTGCTTTCTGCCTGCTAGTGGCAGACTGGTGCCACTTGCAGCCTTAACCCTGTCAGAGCTGGGAGACTGACACTTTTTCATTTCAAAATCCACCATGTCACATTTTAAATGCCCCTTTTTAACTCATCAGGTCTGACTGAAGAGTCAAATGTGCTGTGCTGATTGCCCACAACACCTGCTGGACTCAGTTTGCCTTTTGTTGACCAAGCCATCAGATCTCTGCTGCAGTAGAATGCCTTTTTGTCACTCCTTACTCTCTCTTGTAATTCTCTCTAAGCCTGAAAGACAGGCATCTTTAAAAAAAGAGTTTTGAGGTATTTTTCAGAGTGATTTTCATAGCACTTTATTAACTACAGTTCTGCTTCCATTTGTTTCATTCTTCCATTTGCTTTTGTTGATGCAGTTTGAAGAGAAAAAGGGAAAGGAAAACAAAGTCCTGACTGGAAAAACATATCGGTGGCTGTTTTATTTTGTGTTTTCCCCCTTCTTCCCTTTCCTTGCTGAAGCAGTCGTGTCTTCCCTCTCTAAAGTTGTGGTGCCATCATGTGGCAGTTGGAGCAGGTACAGGTTTTCATATCCCTGTTCAGGGCACACACAGAAAATCATGGCTTGTGTAAAGACCTGGGAGTCTCGACAGCTTTGCTCTGCTTTTTGTTCTTTCTTACCTGCATAGAAATGTCTTGGCTCCTCTGTCTTGCTCATACCAAACCCAGCTGCGTGCTCAGCGTGGCAGAATTTTCTCCTCGTCTGAAATGAAGCAATTTCCAAGTGGTTGCCTCCCTGCTCGTTGAGATCAAGAGGGAGAGACTCTGAGTTGCAGGGACTCTGATCCTGCCTGTGTAGCAAAGGGCTGAGTGATTGAGAAGCTCAACTGCTGCCTATGCTCCATACTGTTTTGCAGGTAAGCTATAAATGAGGCTTTGGTCACTTGAGATCTTGGTTGACTCTATACTGCTGACTTGCAGATTGTTGACTGCATGACCTGTGTTCCAAAATTCTGAATTTCTGCACTACTCTGCAACAGTCAATTTGTGTCCTTGTTCATAAAAAAGACCTTGCATATGAAATGGATGCTTTAGATTCCCAAATGTTTTCCAGTTTAAAAAAAAAAAAAAAAATGAGGATAATGCCTCCCGTGGCTCTCAGGCATGTGCTTTTTTCCTCTGCAGAGAAGGAAAGGTATCAGCAGATACCTTACACCTCCCTTTATATAGGCTTGGATGCTGCATTGCTTGGAGAAAATGTAGTTTTCTCTAGTAAAAGCACTTGCCAAAACAGCTGACTCTTTAGCTTCATATCTGGTAATCTTGCAGGTGGCCCCACACTGGTAGCAGCCCAGTGCTGGGGTGCAAGTCAGGAATGCGCCGCTGAAGGGCAGTAGCTGTAACCTCAACATGCAGTAGAGCGAGGCCCACAGGTTCCCCAGTGCAGTGGGGACAATGTGGTTGTGTGGGGTCCTGCTCTGCTTGGGGCATGCCCTTATAGGCATCTAAGCAAGTGTCCACCAAGTCTAGGATTCTAATGGTGACAGTGGTGAGTGCAGGATAACTGAAGAGCCTCAGAAAAAAACACAGGAATAGCAATTCTTCCTTTAATTTACTGCTTTTTCTTGCTGGTGGCTGGTAGATTTGACCATACAGCTTCTCCCAATGGCTGTTACCATTTTCTGACCAGTAGGTATGGCAGTCTACTCTTGCTTCATGCATTCCTCTGTTTTACCACCCTCACTATGATGAGACCTCACCTAGGATTTCTCCCCTCGCTCCCATCACATCCCAGTTAACAAGAGCCAGGCTGGCTGGGGTGGGTGG